TTTATTCATTTCAGTTACTCATGTATTTATTCAATAAATATTTATTGAGTACTTACTATGTGTAAGGCCCTGTACTCTGGGTGAAAGACAAAATCACAGGTGTCAATGCAGTAGTAAGTCTCCAGTTCCCATCTCTGCTCCTCTTAATATGAACAATCATTCAGAAGGAATCAGAGTGAAAGAGCTACTTTGTCCTTTAAAATGCTGGAAGTCCTGAAGATACTGGAACTCATGGGTAAATAGGCCAAGAACTAAGAAAAGCCCCAGACAACTAAGAGCAAACAAGAAGGCAATCTTAGTTCATAGCCTAGAGCCAGAGTGCTATGAAAATGTGAGGTGACTCTGTTTTAACCAGACACGTCTATTGCTTGGTTAACTGAAGAATCATCCCAGCTCTTTGAGGTGAGCCCCCAAAGGTGTAGATGAAGATGCACTAAGGAATCCAACTGAAAACATAACTCGGTGGGTATAAATCATACTAACACCACAAGCTCCCACTTCCAACTTGCTACACTGTTAATTTTTATCGTATTGCAGGTGACTGTTGTGAATATTGTTTAGGTGAACAAACCTTGGCTAGCAATGCAGGAAGGAATCTTTCCAACTATACCTTCTGCCCCTCAACACACACACAAAGCACATGCTTCTACAAAGGGAGGCAGTGTAGTGAAGATGTGCAAAAAAGTGTCTGGGCTTTGTGGTCAGAGATATCTAAGTTTAAAGGCTGCCGTATCTCAGTACTTATTGGATCTATCATATGGAAAAGTTACTTAAATTTTCTGAGTCTTAGTTAACTTATCCTTAACATATGCATAATAATGTCTATTAAAGGGTTATTCAGCTTCTCTGGTGGCTCCGGCAGTAAAGAATCTGCCTGCAAAGTGGGAGACCTGGGTTTGATCCCTGGGTCAGGAAGATCCCCTAGAGGAGGAAATGGCAACCCACTCCAGTATTCTTGCCTAGAAAATACCATGGACAGAGGAGCCTGGCAGGCTACAATCCATGGGGTCCTAAAGAGTTGGTCACGATTGAGTGACTAACACATACACACAGGTTATTTTGGAATAATGAAAACAGAGCACTTGACTTGGATCATGACACATAGAAGGTAACCAAGAGAGATTCCCCCCATCTTGTAACCTTCTAGAGCTTCAGCCTCTGGAATATCTACCTTCTTCCTTGGTCCATTTCTTCCTAGCCTGTTTGATTAGCTATTTCCTCTTCATGGGCATATGTTGAACCTAGTTACCCCAACTGAAGATGTTCAGCATCTTTGATTCATTTATTAAGGAAATATTTATTAAGCACCTTCTAAGTGCAATATGCTCTAATAGGGCTGGTACCAAATATAAAGATGGATCAGATATCAACACTACCTGCAGAATTATTACAATTTAGGAGGGAAGCCAAACTTTCAGCTCCAAAAAGATTGATGCATAATTTAAGAAGAGCAGATAAAATGTTGTAATAACAACAACAACAAAATCAGAAATGATTTCTACTTGAGGCAATCATGGAAGCCTTGTTGAAGGAAGTGCCACAAACAAATAGGCTTCTAAGGATGGTTAGAGCTTAGATGTATGCAGATGGGTGAAGGGCATTATCAACAGAGTGACTGTGGGAAAGTGAACTTTGCTGTAAAGCAAAGGGTTTACAGAAAGAATTGCAAATAGCATCATATGTCTGGGATATGGGGTGAGTGAAGTAAAGAAGCAACAAAGCTGAAAGGCATAAGGCATCTTGTAAGCTAGGCTAACAAATCTGGATGTTATCTGCAGACGATGGGAAGTCAGTGAAGGTTTCTAAGCAGAGAAACAACATGACCTATATGACTGGAGCTCTCTTTACCAGTTTTTCTACGTGAGTAACCTGGGCCTCCCCTTTCTAATGGTCTTATGGTCTCAAAGTCTACATTTCCTTCCTATGACCCTGCCTAAAGAGAATTGTCACTATTTCCACTTCAAAGTGCATGCCACCTTTTCAGAGCACTCTCTTAAGTTCTTTCCAGTCTGAACCCGTTGAGGGAATTTATGCTGATGTCATAAACGATTGGCAAGATCTAAATCCAAAGAACAAGGCTTTCACAATCCAGGTTATAATTTCTGCCACTTATCCATGTTTCTATGAATAACATTATATAATCACTCAGCTGCTCCCAGGAGAGTGGCTATTCAGAATTTATCATTACAGGTGTACAGTTTTATAAAAACAGCAAGAAAACTTTCAGGCATATTAACAGACAATTCTCAAGAGGAGACAGGAGATCATAAGTACTGTGGAGACTTAAAGGGGAAAATATCACCCCTCGCAGGAAAAAATAAGAGCTATCTCTTAATCAGTTTCTTAAAACATAACAAACCAGAAAGAGTTCCTTATAAACCTACAGGGACAATATATCAAGCATCTCCCCAACATGCCACTTATTAGAGAGTATTTGTTTAGTTATCAGACCCCTCAGCTAAACAATTCGGTCTGGTTTGAATGACCAACATCATCATTTCACTTATTCATCCTATTCAGAAAAAAAAAAAAAAAAAAGCCAGCAGAATGCAGGAGGAGGGGAGGGATGAATGTAATGTAAGCAAGGAAAAAAGCAACGGAGGAGAAGGCCGAAAACAGCACAGATGAAATAAGGAGCAATAGAATGAAGACTAAATCCATGCTGTTTGGACAGAAGACATGCTCTGCCTGAGTGAGAACGGACAGATCAGAGTGCCAATTGTTACTGAATGAATTACCAGAGGCAATTAAATGTGCTGAGGGCCCACTACAAGCTAAGTACTGAAGATACGAAGATGAAAAAGAGAATGCTCTTGCCTTCTTTACCAACTCAAAGTTTAGATGAGGAGGCTGATAACTAAAGAAAATTGCAATACAGTGGGCTGAAATGTAAGAAAGAGAAGCTGCTGAAAGAGCTTTAAGAGCACCAACCAGCAGGAGAAAGAGGATCCTTGAAAGGGGTCCTATTTGTGTGCCTTTAGGTAAGTCACCGAACCTCTCCAAACCTCACTTCTAAAAAGGGACCCTATCTGGCTGCCTCTCTCTCAAGGTTGTTTTGACATGAATTCATAGTTGAAAGTCCAATCTGAAAACTGAAAGCCTTTATGCCAACGTAAGAGAAAGCTATTTTCTCCATTTGAGCAAAGGTCTATTTAGTGCTTACTTTGGGTACTGGGTACCAATGCTGTGGGGTTGAGCACTGACCCCTCTCTGGCTTTCCCGGTCCCTCCGCCATGGCAAGCTTTAGCACAACCAGTCTGGGTTCCCACTGAAGCACCTACAAACAGACTACCTGGAAAATACCACGAAACACTCACCAGCTTCCGGCTGCCTCCATCCTTGAGGTCCACAGAAGATAGCAGGGTGACAGCCTGGCCCCCAGGGAGAGTGTCTGCGCACCCTCGGCGACCTCATCCTGGCCGCCCTTCTTTCTCCCATCCTCATCTTTTTTGCCTCTCCTCATCAGCACTTTCCTTGCCCCCTCTCCGGTCGACTTCGACCTGCTACAGATCCTTTTTTCTCTGTTGCACTCCCCCTCCCCATTTGGGCGTGAGTGCTTCTCCCGTTCGGGAATAGAGTCAAGGCTTCAACTCCTGCAGGGCGTCTGAGAAAGCGTGAAGAGCGGCGGCGTCCCCGAAGCTGTCTTTAGAGCCCTCTCCGGAGGCTAGGACTCCTAACACCCTCTCCCTTCCCCCGTCTGGCTCCCTTCTCCCCTCCCCCACGCCCTGCTCTCCCATTCGGCAGTTCTCTCCCTCGCTCCCTTTCTTCTCGTGGCCCCTAAGCCCATTTCCCACTTTTCCTTTTAGTCTGCCGCCCATGCCACCCCGTGCCCTCCCCACTCCACCCCTGGCCATCTTCCGTGGTCCCACCACCCTGTTCTCGTCCTTTCCTCTCCCAACCCCCACCTCCGCTGGCTCCGAGGCCGGCGCGAGGAGGTGACGAGGGGCCAAGTTCTGCCGGGACTCCGGCCCCGGGACAAGGAGCCGCTCCGGACTCTGCTCAGCAGCCGATGGCGTCACTGAGTTTTGCGTACGTGATTGGCTACCTCTGGGTTTACGACGGGCGACCCTGGCAAGATTGTGCGCACCGGTTTCTTTGTCCCCCTGCCTCTCAGGTTGAGTCGGGGGAATAGGCCATGGGCACTGTACACTGCTTCACAACAGGGTCTTGGGAGAGAGCCGTGACTCAGGCCTTGCGCGTGTGTTGTGCCAGATGAGGGAGCAGAGTCAGTGATAGAAAGCGGTGAGTGGGACTGCGGGCGGAGGAGGAAAACTTGAGGATCTGAACTCTGGGTAGAAGGGAACTGTCTGGGAAGGCATGGCGCAACTTGCAGCCCCAACTGTGGTCTCTTTCTGCAGTGCTGAGGGTTTTACCTTGAAACAGAGCTTGGGCTTTGGAAGCAGGCGTTTAATTTCCAGTCTTTGTTCTTCTGTTTGTAGGACCTTGGGCAAGTCACTTCATTCTGTTTCCTCTCTGTGAGGTAGAAATGATAATACCAATATGCTTATTTAACTGGTTCATTTAAAGGATTAAATGGAAACATTTTCAAATGATTAAATCTGTCATTGTTTTAGTAGAGAATATGGTGTAGCAGAAAGAATCCTGGATCAGAAATGAAGAGTCTTTGTTATCGTTCATGTTTCTGCGTGACCTTTACCAAGTCACGTTTAACCGTTGTGGGCCACATTGCCCTCATCTGTGAACTGGGAGAACTGGACCCGACATCTCTAAGATCACTGTTGGCTCTAACATTATATGACTGACGACTAAAGCTTAGCATCCTCCTTAGTTCACCCTTTCAAAGAAGGACTTCACTTCCTTTTTCAGGACTCTGGTTAATCTCTCCCCTTTGTGAGAAGACCACCTTCTCTTAGGTACCCTGGTGAACGTGTGTTTCCTAGGGCCCAGTCCTCTCCCCCATCCCCAGCAACGAAAGTACAGATCTCAAACTATAGCAGCTTACATGTAGGGCTCATCCTTGATGGAGACTCTCTCCCCAGGCTACTGGCAAGAGCAGAATTTGGAGCTGGGAACTCTGGCTCCACTCGACGAGGCCATCAGCTCCACAGTCTGGAGCAGCCCTGACATGCTGGCCAGTCAAGGTGAGAATCCAGGCCCCCTCATCTTGATGTCCCTCAGTCCCCTCAGCCATTCTCAAATCATCTCTCACTCATGTTGCTTCCACCCCGTGTTCTCACTCCCCTCATTACCACACAACTCTTCCTCCTCTCCATCTGACATTTTAGTACTTAGTTCTACACCACCAACTTCTCTGGCACCTATTCCTCCTTCCCTCGCTCCAGTACAGAGACCTCTGTTTCCCCTACACCTTTTTCCAAAAATCAAATGATTCTGGGAGGAGTGTATTATGCAGAATAAAGAGGTTCTGGAAGGACCCAATTGAGGTAGAATTCTTCAAAAGGAACCAGGGACAATGGGATTACTAGTCAAACATCACTATATGGTGAGCAGTAAATGAAAGACTTCCCAACCCTTCCATTGAAATATTTAAGGAATATGTCACTCCCACATTTATTCAGCCCACTCAGTCTCTGGCTCGCTAATATCAGAGTTGTAGTTTTAGTCCTCAAGTTAGGCGACTACCTGAGGAGCATTCCAGAGAAGAGTACTGCCTTGCGAATCAGGAGGTTTCTAGTCCTGACTGGAGCCATCGATGAGTGGCGTGATCTGAAGCAATCACTTCACCAACATTGCCTCATTGTCTACATCTGTAAAATGAGGGAATTGGATTCCATGAGCCTTAAGATCCCTGTCCATTCTAATTTTTATCATTCTAGATACTAAAACCGCCAGCCAGGCTTTGGGCTCCCTTCTGGAGACAGCCACCCAGAACTGTGGTGCTTGGTGTCAGCACTGGCAGGCACCACTTTTGCTCCTCAGGGCCCACTCTGTGCCAGGAGTGCTCATGGAATATTTCTTGACAATGCAACTCTGGGGACCGAGAAAGACAGGAGAAAGCAGATAAAGTAGGGATAAGGTTGGTGCCACAGGGAATGTGGGGATTTTTTTAAATTGCTCAGTTAGGGAGTGTAGGAAGTATGTTTCTTTGTTTTCAATTCAGAGATGACATTGCTGGTTAAATAACTTAGCAGGATAGAAGAAATTGTGTGGATGTTTCAGAAATCCGAGCTGGAAGGTCAGAGCTATTGGATCAAAGGAAATCAGATATGAAGATGAGGGAATCAATATTGGGAATCAGTCCATGCTGGGGGACACATGGGACAATATTGGGTGAAGGAAGCAAGTGTCACACAGGCTGAGGGGCTCATAGCTCAAACTGATTGGATGGCATATTTGGAATTCAAAGGCCTCATCTGTATGTTATCTTATTATCTTCTTTTGTTTAACTTGACTAAGGAGAGAGGGATTAGAAACCACATCCCTCCATCACATTGAAGGGAAAACTTTAATCCATTCTTCTTTAAAATAACATCAGGATGGTGAGTTGGGTTTGTGTGTTGATTTGGGAGGCGGGTAGCACTGATACTGAGAGGAATATGTTAAGGGAGCTGATGACTAGAGGGAAGTTCCTGTTGGAGGAATTGAGAAGTCTGTGTCAAAATGTTCCTTTTTTTTTTTTTTAATCTTTTTTGTTTGTTTATTTTACAGTTTTATCAGCTACCTCTTGTGTAAATGAATGTGTAACCCAAGGGCCGACTTGGCCTTTTCTTCACCTTTAGTTTGGGGATTATTAGTCTCAATTGCTTCTCCTGTTCTTGCTCTCACATGCAGGTGGTGGCAGGAAGGTAAAAGAGAATGACAGATTTGTATGTGTGTTTTCAAAGGTGAATGGTAGCACTCTATCAGAAAAGATACATGTGGAATGGTATGTGTAGATTTGGGGTGCCTTTATTCCTCTCAATGTTTGTGGCCCTGTCCGTTCATTCAGCAAATATTCAACAAGTGACTATTTTTCTGTGCATTCAAAGCAAGAGGAAGTAAGGTCTGTCTTCCCCTACCCCCACCCTCACCCCTATTCCTTCCCCCGTGGTGTGTTAAAAGAATACAGAGACTTGGGCCTTGGATGGTTGTAATTAGATGAGCTGGACTTTAGCCCAGAAATGGGTGGAGGGGTCAGCACTGTATCTGGAAACTAACGCTATTCTACTCCTGCAGACAGTCAGCCCTGGACATCTGATGAGACAGTGGTGGCTGGTGGCACCGTGGTGCTCAAGTGCCAAGTGAAAGACCATGAGGATTCATCCCTACAGTGGTCTAACCCTGCCCAGCAGACTCTCTACTTTGGGGAGAAGAGAGGTAGCATCCTAGGAGTTATCTCCCTCCCATGGGCTGAGCAACAGGGCTGCAGAACTGGGAGGAAATGTCCCTGCAGATCAGAGGCTGAGAAACGTGAAGGGAAGCTATTTGGGGAATCAACAATCCATGGGCTCCTCAACTGGCTCCAGAGAAACTTCATTATCATGGCTCTGACCTAGGTCATGCATGGTACTATAGGGTCCTGCCCAAACAAAAGGGCACCCCAAAGGAGCCCTGAGTGACAGCTGATGACAGTGTTGCCCCAAGGTAGCCCACACATCCAGTCTACTTTTCTGAGTATCTCTGAGGCTACTGAGCCCAAGGGCCTAGGAAAGGGACTGAATATCTGAAAGACTGCTCAAACTCAGGAGCAGTTTTTTTTTTTTTTTTTTTTTCCCCTGCCCCAAACTATGCTAGACCCTTTCTCAGGAAAAAAAAAAAAAAAAAAAAAAACTGGCCTGGGATTGGAAGATAAAGATGAAAGGTGCCAGTAAAAGTCTTGCTTCCAATTCTCGCGATTTCCCCCAGCCCTTCGAGATAATCGGATTCAGCTGGTTAAATCTACACCCCACGAGCTCAGCATCAGCATCAGCAACGTGGCCCTGGCCGACGAGGGTGAATACACTTGCTCCATCTTCACTATGCCCGTGAGAACTGCCAAGTCCCTCGTTACCGTGCTCGGTGAGGCTCCCAAACCCCGATGTCTCCACGGCGTGCTTCCTTGCAAACAGATCTCCCTGGGTGGGCCTCTAAAGCAGCCTAGAGCCAAGCAAGTCTCCAGGCATGTTGGGAAAGTTCAGCCTGTGTTAATATTGCAATGTAATGAAATGCAAAGCGTGCTGGGTCTAATTCTAATCTTTTCTCCTTTACTTACTGTTTGCTCTGGGACAAATCTTTAACTCTCTTTGAGCCTGAATTTCCTAACTTGTAACAGAAGGATGCTAGTGTCTCTTCCACTTCCCTCCGAAGACTGTGTGATGAGACACAAACATAGAAATATGTTCAGTGTATGATTTTGATTTCCAAGACAAGTACACTCATTGTCTGCATGCTCTCATCTTGACCCCGTATTTCAATTTCCTTCTTTGCTTCCCTGAGCCTCACACTATGTCTGTGGCCAGCTAGCTGTGCTTTAGTGCGTTGGGTCATCTGAGGTATCATCTCAGGCACAGTAAAGCTCCCACCGCTCTATCTTTTCCCTCTGGGGCGGTCTTTCCTCCTGGTCCTCAGGAAGGAGATCAAAGAGAAAGACGATTTCTCTAGCCTTCTACCCGTCAGGAACCAAAGTAGAACCCAGATATCCTAACCCTCAGAGAGTCCATCCCAGCAGGGGGAGCTGAGGGTGCCTCTCCTTCCCCTCCTGGCCACCCCCTATTTGTGGCAGGAATCCCACAGAAGCCTGTAATCAGTGGCTACAAGTCGTCATTACGGGAAAAGGATACAACCACCCTAAGCTGTCAGTCTTCTGGGAGCAAACCTGCAGCCCAGCTCACCTGGAGGAAGGGTGACCAGGAGCTCCATGGTAAGTTCCTCCTGCCTTGGGGGTGACAGGAGGAGGTGGTGCTGGGGCGGCAGGGAGGAGAGAGGGAGAGAGGGGTACCTGTCTGTCTGTCTGTCTGTCTACGTGCACATAAGCCATGGTGTAGAAGAGAAGGGAAGGATAGATACTCTGTGTACACTTGTGTTTGAATGTGTGTGTGTGTGTTGGGGCCTCCATCCTCCCTGTGTGTACATATCCATTTCACAACTTCCTAAGTCTGTCTAAGCTGAGATGCACCATCTGTATGTCTCTGGTGGGGCCCACACAATCCCCGCATGGCAGGGCTCACTCTGTGTCCATGTGTGTGTGTGTGCACGTGTCTGTTTCTGCTCTCTAGGGGAATCTACCCGAATACAGGAAGATCCCAATGGCAAAACCTTCACTGTCAGCAGCTCAGTCACCTTCCAGGTCACCCGGGAGGATGATGGTGCAGACATCGTGTGTTCTGTGAACCATGAATCTCTAAAGGGAGCTGATAGATCCACTGCTCAACGCATAGAAGTTTTATGTATGTCATGGGCTTGTGGGTGAGGAAGATCTGGTATAAGATGGGGAGTGGGGAAAAGAAAGGGCTTCCCAGGTGGCACTGGTGGCAAAGAACCCACCTGTCAATGCAGGAGACTTAAGAGACGGGGGTTCAATCTCTGGGTTGGGGAGATCCCCTGGAGGAGGGCCTGGCAACCCACTGCATGGGGTTTCCATGGACTGAAGAGCCTGGCGGGCTACAGTCCACAGGGTTGAACAGTCAGACACGACTGGAGTGACTTAGCACATATGCACGGAGAAAAGAAAAGTGTGGGTGACTGTATATGAAGAACCAGGCACAGATAAGTAAATAGGAGGAAAAAAAAATAAGACAAGATGTGCCAGTGGTAGGCCAAGGGTCAGCAAACTTTTTCCAGCAATGGTCAACATTTTAGGTTTCGAGGGCCATGTGGCCTCTGTCTCAACTAATTAACTCTGTTGTTGCTGCAGGAAAATAGCCATAGATCATATGTAAATAGTGAACATAGCTGTGTTCCAGTAAGACTTTATTTACAGAAACCTGTAGCTGGAGGGATTTGGCCCAATAGGTAAATTTACTGTCTCCTGGGTTAGGCCAGTGTTATGCATCTAAATTGTAAATTATAGCAGTAACTGTAGCAAATCAGAAGTCAGGAGAAACAGAATCTCATCTGCCCCTCCACCACTTCCTAGCTGAGTGATATTAGGGAACTTACCCCACTGAGCTTGGTTCTTTATTTGGTAAATGAGAAGATAGACATGGAATCACGAAGGCCTCCTCTTGGTCTAACACACTATGAGTTCAAGAAAAGAGACGGTAGGAAAACCACTCTCGCTGGCATCATTAGTCCTATATTTTCCCAGTATTCCCCCCATCTGCCCCAGCTCTATGATTTTTCTTGGGATTCTGACCTGAAATGGCCACTGTCAACAATCACTACTCCCAACCCTTCCAAGGATCCTCATCCCTTTATGGAATCTGCCTTGAAAACAGATGGGAAATTTAGCAATTTTCAGAAAGAACTTCTCTGAGTTGAAAAGTCAAAGGGGAAAAAAGTAAAGTACAAAGGCAGAAGATAATGAGTTACAAAATAATGCATTTGTCCTAACTTTTCTAAAGACTGGTTACTTTTCTAAAAGAACTCAGACCGTTCACCTCTTTCTTATGGAACATCCAGGCCTGACTCCAGGGCTGTTTTAATCAATTGCCAGACCCATTGCTGGCACTTCACGTGAGGTAGGTCTGGGGTGGCGTCACTGTGCATTTAGCAGATTCTCAGTCTGGATTCCGGCTGCTGTGTCACTGTTAGCAAAGCATTTAATCTTAGAGTGGGCCCTGCCTAGTTCAGTGCGTTTCATAAGAACAAATGAAACAATATATGATGAAAGAACTTTGCAAACCTCAAAGGTCTATATTGCTCTGAGTTGATCCTCTGATTATTAGTTCTGAGTGTAAAGCCCCTGACCTTGAGCTTCTTGTCCTGGCCCCTGGGCAGGGCTAAAGAAGGCCCTCTCATGTCTGAGTCCCAAAGACTTCTCTGTGAGGTACCAGACCATCTGGCAGTCACTCCCCAGGGACCCTTTTGGCTTCCGTGTGATCAGCAGTCAGTCAACAAATGCTACACTCCAGGCACCACACTGGAGGTTTCTCTGGCTGCGGGTCCCTGGAACACCCATTCTCTCACCTGGCCTGAGTCTCTTTGTCCTGTTTGATTGGACCGAAACACGTTCATTAACCGGTTGTTAAGGTTGGCTCTATCCTTAGGGGGAGCTCGGCCTCTTTATCTGTTGTTCTAAACCAGCATCTGGTTGTATTGTTCTATGCAGCCATCTGGACCCAGCCTCCTAAGCAGCCCTTCGGCATCGGTGGCAGATGCCATTATTCCTTCCCAGAGCCCATGTATATTGTGTCAGTGCCTTTTTGTAGCCAAAATATGACCCCCATCTCTTGCTCTTTCCAAGCTCTTGCTTCAAATTTGGACCGGCCCCTAAAAATGGTATTTTGCGTTAATGCAGCGCTTCCTGTTTAAACTGCCTTGCAGAGAGGATGGAGAGATTGTGAGCTCAATCAGTGATCAAATTCAAGTTTATCTGTTCTATCAAAAATTGTATTAAGTCCCATTTATGTGCTAGGCACAGGTGATCCCAATTCCTCTTCTCAGCTCTCTGTTAAGACATCCCTGGGTCCCTAGCAAGCCCTACTTCTGCAAGGTTTTCAGTCATCCAATGGCAATAGTACTCTTTGCTCACAGAAGCGGGGGTGGGGTGGCCTTGGTTGCACAGCCTCTTGGGCTCCCAGGCCTTTCGAGGTGGATGCTGACTTGCGTAACTGAATGGTTTTGAGATGGAGGCAGTCTAAATGGCATGGAATCACGTTGACACCATTTCCTTCTCTGCAGACACACCAACAGCGAAGATAAGGCCAGACCCTCCTCATCCCCGCGAGGGCCAAAAGCTGTTGCTCCACTGTGAGGGACGTGGCAACCCCGTGTAAGAAGATCCGTTTCCTGGACTTTAACACATCTCTGCACACGAAGGCTTCACCTCAAGCCTTCCTGTCTCCTTCATGCTATCTGAGCCTCTCGTTTTCCTTGACACTGTTGAACAAGGCCCATCTTCTGACTGTTTCTTCTGCAAAGCAGCAGAAGTGGGGAGGGGCCACTCCCCGACTGAGCCCCTGAGGTTCCCATAAGGAACCAAGCCAGTTAGATACGAGCTCGGCAGTCTCCCTCATCCCCAGGCTGGGCTTCAGGGGTCACCCCCCGCCCCGCCCCGAGCGGCTCAGGGCCTCCGGCCCCTCGAACCACTCAAGCCCTCGTCACGCTGCCCTTGACTTCCCCATGTGCAGTTCTGTTTTCTTCTCTAGCTCCATGCCCTGCTCTTTCCTGAACACTTGGGATTTCTCTACCTCCACAGCCCCCAGCAGTATGTGTGGGAGAAGGAGGGCAGTGTGCCCCCGCTGAAGATGGCCCAGGAGAGCGCCCTGATCTTCCCCTTCCTCAACAAGAGCGACAGTGGCACCTACGGCTGCACGGCCACCAGCAATATGGGCAGCTACAAGGCTTACTACACCCTCAACGTGAACGGTGAGCCCTCCGAAGCTCTCGTCCAACAGACCCCTTCTCTCCTCTGCCTTCTGGTCCTCTCATCTTTCCGTCTCCTGATAGCCTCCCCAGACCTCAGCTGGGAGCGGACTGGGGGCACAACAGTCCACCACTGGAGCCCCAAGGACGCAGGCTCCGGGTCCACTCTCGGATGTGGAATAAGGACAAATCGATGCGATGGTGGACTTTCATCTGCCTTTGTTTAGCGATGACCCAGGTGATACCCTCCTTCAATCTTTGCATTCACCTGGCAACAAGAGTAAGAATTCTATGTGCCCAGGCCCCAGAGTCACTCATCTGTGTGCAGAGGCATCTGTCTTTGCAGCAGGGCTATCCTCAGAGTCACTTCTCCTGTGACTAATACAGGATGCATGCTGCTGCTGCCATCTCCTTTTCTGAGGATCTTTGACATGCTATAGAGAATCCATGCAGAAAACAGAGATAAGTTTGTACTACGCGGAGCAATAGTCAGAATCTTTTTCTCAGATGCCATATCGTCTAGAGAGACTAGATGATGTTCCTTCTCTGAACTTCGGCCCAAAGGTGTGACTACAAAATTCAGCTTCAAGAAAAGCGACAGGCTAAGCCTCTTTATGGAGATTTTTTTTGAAGACCCCCCCCCCAGTAACAATGGGGGCTTCCCAGGTGGTGCTAGTGGTAAAGAACCCCCCTGCCAATACAGGAAATGTAAGGGACGGGGGTTCAATCCCTGAGTCAGGAAGATTCCCTGAAAGAGGAAATGGCCTCCAGTATTCTGGCCCACTCCAATGTTCTTGTCTAGAGAATCCCGTGGACAGAGGAGCCTGGCGGGCTACAGTCCTTAGGGTCGCAGAGAGTCGGACACGACCGAAGTATGAGCATGCAGCACATAGGAACACTGAGTCCCGCCAGAAACTCAGGCTCCCCTCAGAATAGGGGACGTGCGTTGTCAGGGGGACATCAGAGACTCGCTTACAGGAAATGCCCGTTAAAGCAGTATGGAGATAGCAATCAGGCCTCCCAGGAGTAAGAGACCAGAGGTCTCGGGGCTCCAGGGGCAAACCTCAGCAACGCGGGAGCTGCCTCAGCACAGCAAACAAAGCTATTGTCGGGTGCCAGGAGCAAGGACAATGCACTGAGCTTCTGTGTCTGCCCCCAGATCTCTCCAGGCCAACTCTGATGACCATTGGCAGAGAAGGAAAGCTCCCGCGCCCTTGGGGTTGGTCTCTTGCTGATCCCGCCACTCTGCGCTGCAAGCCCAATCCTCTGACTGGTCTGCTTCCAGTGCTGACGCCTGGTGGTAGAATTAGTTACTGCATCTGCCTCCAGAGAAAACTCTGAACCGAGTTGACTTCCAACTACCTGGGGTGAAATTAGATGGAGTTATACCTAGAGACACCAACCTGTAACTGATGAACCCAGAGGTCATTTTCGCCATGCCAACCTAGGCTTTCCTAGGGAATTTTCATTCTTACAGTCTTTGGGATGATTATCTAGAATTGGTTTTTAATAAAGGTTATATCTCACATTCTCTTGGAGGCAGGGGAGAGGAACAGTGGATAACCTCACCATGTTCCCTCCAGTTTGAACTATCACACCCACTCCTCCCATCACAGAGACGCAGGGACCTTCTTCTCCCTCCCTCCCAAGCAGAGCATGCAAACTCTGCATGCATATTTTTTTTTTTCCCCAAAATAAGATGGAGACAGCAAGGAGCTAAAAAGCTGGCCCAGTCAAGCCAGAGGAGACATAAGGTAGGAGAGAGAAAATGGACAAGGAGTCAATGAGGCATCAAGACTCAAACTGAGTCTATTAAAAAAAAAAATAGTAGCTCTCCCACGGGTGGGAGAGCCTTAACTGCAGCTCGTATAATTTTGGACATGTCAGAACTGTGTCCCAGGTATGGGCACTGTCTCCTCAGATCTTTGGGACTCTGACTGTGACTGCGGCTCTCCTCGGCATGCCCGGCCAAGCCTGTGCGTGGGAATCTGTCCCCTATAGACACTGCTGTGGAGGACAGAGTCTCTGTATCTGATGACAGTGGCCGTCAGAACTGGGAGGAAGAAGTTCAGTCTTTGTCCTTCCCACAAACCTTTGGCTGGTGGGGAAGTGAAGATGGAACCCCAGACCTCTCTGGTGAAAGGAAGATTGGGTCTTGCTGGAACTCTAAGCTCCCTGACAAGAGGGAACACTTTTCTTTATACAGGGAATTGCAGTCCACCATCTATCCACAGTTCACGTGCCTATTCCTGTCTCCAGCATTTTTTGACTGCTCCTTTCCAATCTGCAATCAGGACAATGCGTGATTAGGTTGAGAAGCCCCCCTTAGAAAAGCCAGCTCAGAATACCAAGCAGACAGAAGGGGAAGAGGGTATGGGGGATAGGGAAAGAATATCCTGATAACCCAGAAATTCAAAGACAGACACAGACAGAGAGAGAAGATAAGAAAAGATGTAGAGATCAAAGTGTTGATCTTTGCAAGGGTCAGGCTTCAGGTTCACGAACTCAGAAGGTTGTGTGAGCAGATACATCTGTTTATTCTTGAATATGTTTTTTAAAACAAGTACTATGTTTCAGATACTGTATAAGAAGCCAGGTGTAAAGTGAGACAGATCCCTTTTGTTGGATGAAGCTACTCTGTTCTCTCAGAGATGTCGGATGGTCCATGGCCCGGGGCAGACACGCTGTAAGGCGCAGGTCCTTCCCAGATCTGACTGTGTGCTCCCCTCTCCCCCCAGACCCCAGCCCAGTGCCTTCGTCCTCCAGCACCTACCACGCCATCATTGGGGGGATCGTGGCTTTCATCGTCTTCTTGCTGCTCATCCTGCTCATCTTCCTCGGTCACTACTTGATCCGGCACAAAGGTCAGAGGCACGAGGGAGCATCAGGAGGGACTTGAGAGCGGACAGGGAGATCATGAGGGGCCGGCAGGGTAGGCGTGGCCAGAGAGAAGGGCCTTTGGACTCTCAGTGGGTGGGAGTGTCCGAAACCCTTGGAGCGCTGGTGGAGGAAAGAACATGGCCCACCTGTGATAACTGAGCACTGCCAGCCCCATAGTCAGGCCTGATCACCTGGTGATCATCCAGGTGAAGTCAGACCTTCCCACCCAGTCAGCTGCTGCAACCATGCCGCCCTGCTTCCAGGGCCGCCGGGTGAGACAGGACTGCCGCACCTCTGCATCCCCCTCCTATTTCTTCCTGCGCTTTGCTCCTTTCAGTTTAGCCTCGTGGTTTTTGTCCTTTGAGCACCTCACCCCTTAACCCCATACCATCCCTTCCCTTTTCGCTCCTCTCTTGTACCTCTCGGAGAAGGCAATGCCACCCCACTCCAGTACTCTTGCCTGGAAAATCCCATGGACGGAAGAGCCTGGCAGGCTACAGTCCGTGGGGTTGCAAGAGTTGGACACGACTGAACAACTTCACTTTCACTTTTCACTTTCATGCATTGGAGAAGGAAATGGCAACCCACTCCAGTGTTCTTGCCTGGAGAATCCCAGGGACGGGGGAGCAGGGTGGGCTGCTGTCTATGGGGTCATACAGAGTTGGACATGACTGAAGCGACTTAGCAGCAGCAGCAGCTTGTATCTCTGCCATCTCTCCCTCCCCCCTCCTCATATGCCTTCCTCTCAGACAGCCCTCTGTTATTCCTTGTAAGCCAGCCGCCTGGGTCTTAGTTGCATTGCAGCACATGAAATCTTTTTAGCTGTGGTATGTGGGATCTAGTTCCCTGACCAGGGATTGAACCCAGGGCCCCTGCGTTGGGAACACAGAATCTTAACCACTGAACACCCAGGGAAATCCCTGGCCAGCAGCCTGACTCTGTGGACAGGTCAGACGCTAGCCAGATCTCAGCAGTGCAGTCATGGAGCTGACATCGCAGTTTTCTTGTTACCAGTGTATGAGCACACGTGTGTGTATACACACACACACACACACACACACACACACACCTTTTTTTTAGCCTGTGTTATAGATGAGATTAAAAGCAGGCTCCATCAGTTCTTAGTAGTGTGTTCAGGTGAGAGATATCAGCAGCAAGATGCTAATTAGGGCAGGTGGGGAAGAAGAAAGCTCCAGGTAGGAGAAAAGTTACAGAAGCAAGGTGCGCGTGAGTGGGTGGGAAAGTGGCCGGGGGTGGGGGGGGCCTCCGAGATTCGGAAACTGCTCCTGAAAGAAGGAGCCTCTTCTCTCTTCCCAGGAACCTACTTGACTCACGAGGCGAAAGGCTCCGACGATGCCCCCGATGCAGACACGGCCATCATCAATGCAGAAGGCGGGCAGTCGGGCGGGGACGACAAGAAGGAATATTTCATCTAGGGGTGCCCCCGGGACCCCATGGGGACGTCTGGGGCCATCACCAACCTGGACTTGTACAGAGCGACCCCAGGGCTGCCCCTCCCGCTTGCTCCCCAGCACCCCCCCCCACCCCCCTGTACAGAATGTCTGCTTTGGGTGCGGTTTTGTACTCGGTTTGGAATGGGGCGGGCGGGTGGGGAGGGAGGGTTGCCCTCAGCCCTTTCCGTGGCTTCTCTGCGTTTGGGTTATTATTATTTTTGTAACAATCCCAAATCAAATCCGTTTCCAGGCTGGAGGGGCAGGGGCCCTGGGGTGAGGAAAGCAAAACAAACAAACAAACAAAAAAAAAACCCACACAAACAGAAAACCTGGAATGTTAGGAGGAGGATGAGGAGAAGGCTAGGGCAGGAAGGAGCTGGGTCAGTTTGGTGGGGGGCCCTCACCAGCCCTCGATCATGAGAGCCTCTTCCTGGATTTCTCTGGGGTCGGGGAGGTTGTGAGCAGGAGGCAGGAGGTGGCTTTTCCTCCGTAAGTTGCACACCTTGAGCTCTGCACAGAGAAGGTACCGCCTGACACCCCTCCCCCTCCTCCCTAACAGGAAAGGGGTGAATGGGGGCGCCCCAGGAGATGTGACCTGCAGCTGGCACGCAGCCACGCGGGGCCCAGGGCTTCCCCAAGTGGGAGGGCATGGGTCCCTGCAGGAAGGGCAGATTTGGAGAGAAAGGATGGCAGAGATGGCCCTCTCTGCCCTCCCCGCCCCCCCACCACCACCTGGCCCCTATGGTGAATGAAGCCAGGCCCTTTCCCCAGGAACCACCCTTGGGGGACAGCAGAGCAAGGCAGCCCCTCCTTGTTCCAGCAGCTGCGGGGGAGGTGCGGCCTGGGCCCTAAACTGCATCTGCTTCCCCGCCCAGCGGCCCCTGACTCTCTCACTGGAGCCCTGGACTGTTGCACGGCAACCACTTGTCTTAGGCACTGCTCAGCAACCTCGCCTCCCTGTCTTGTGCTGCCCTCTGCCCCCTCCTGTTCCCCAAGCCCTCCCTCCCTCTCTCCCTCCCTCAGCAGCCAGGCAGACAGAACAACAAAAATACTAAAAGGAGCTTCACTGCGCTGAGCTGTTTCCTGCCCAAACGAAGGGAATAGTCGTGTGTGTGTCTGTGTGTCTGCGCACTTGTGTATGTGAGTGAGAGGCAGAGGGGCTCCTGGGCAGGTGGGGTGCTGCGGGGCATGTGGAGGAGGGCTGTGGGAGCTGACAGGCCCTAGGCAGGCTGGGCACCTCACCTGGGATGTCGCTCCATCCTGGAATTTCCATGCTGTCCCCAGCGCCCATCTGTTACGGAGAAAACAGTCCCAGGGTGTGTTTTTGCTCAGTCCTCCATCTCATCTCTCCCTGAAACACAGGGCATTCAACCTCTGCCTCCGTTTCCCCGTCTCGGAGCCACGGAGTCAGTGCTAAAGCCTTTGCTATGCATCCCTCAGGCCTCCTGCTGGCACTGACCCTGGAATGACCGCTGTCACTTCTTGTCCCCATAGTCTGTACCCAGTGCGTCGAGGGCTAGGAGCAAAAGCGCCTGTCTCCTTCCCATCTCCATTCCATCCCTGCTTTTGATTTTCTGTCTTCCTTGTGGCCAAGCCGGTTGCCATGGAAACGAGGCCACGCGCCCTCGTCGCCCGCCGGCCGCCCCGCCTCAGACCCAGGTGCCCCTTGGCGCCACTCTCACCCTCCTCCAGCATGTCCTGCTGTCCTGACCACCCAGGGGTGTACCAAGTGGGGGCAGCTGCAGCCAGCAGGTCTGCCCACCCCCTTCAGTTCAGGTAATACTGTCGTGAATCTTCCAGCCGCTGGTTAGGGCCCTGGGCCCCCTCCTCTTATAGCAGCGAGGCAGCCTAGGGCCCCAGGCCTGTGGGCTCCCTGCCTCCCAGCACCCGCTTTTGGGAAAATGACTTTTCCTCTTTGAGCTGAACCACTCTGTCCATATTACACAGAAGCCATATTTGTACCGGGGGGCGGGGGGGACGGGGGCGTCGTGCTGTGTGTGTCTGTCTGGGGGTGGAGGGCGGGGCGGGGAGCAGGGAGGGCACGTGTATCTTTATAATCTTTCTAACTCTCCTGTGCTAATCTCAGAGGGGCCACCCTCAATATATCTGGATTATCCGTGTCCTTCGGCTGCCTCCTTCTTGCCACTCTTGCTCCTGTTGGGATGCGTGTGTGTAAGGGCTGTTCTGCACCTGCTGCCTCCAGGGGTGGTGTGTGCCTTGCCAGGCCGTGCTCTCCGGGGCACCGTGTATGGGAACGACAGAACTCTCTGCGGGGGAGAAGAGCATTCCTTCGTGCCCTTTGGCCAGGTCCTTAGATTCCAGTGTTGGGTGGGCTACCTGACTGCTCCCCACTGCCCTCTACCAGGGTCCCTTCAAGAGACCCCCAAACTCCCTTTTCAGTCCCCTTCATGTTGAACCTGAAACTGCAGCTAGTGTCCCAGGAGAAAGGAGACCATCTCAGCAAGGTGACCATCCTTCTGCGCCTCTGCTTCCGGCTCCAGCCGCCCCTGGGTGGGAAGGAGGACTTGGCAGAATGAGCTCTATGACACCCAGCGCCTTCTTGGACAAATGAAACAGTATCACCTAACTAACCCTCCCTATCGTTCCAACTCGGATGTTCTATGACTCACCCTTCCCCAAGTCCAGGCTAAGCGTCCCCCAGTGAGGAAATAAAATGCAAGGTAGGGGCGGGTGGCGGGGACAAAAGAGCAGAAGTCATGTGAGAATGGGGATGGTGAGGGGACAGCATACCAGAGAGCAGAAATGTCCATTTAGGGGCATCCTCCTGCAGGATGCTGGTGAGAAATAGCTCTCCCCACCACAAGAAACTTTACATGTTGCTAAGATGCCAGGACAATGTAGCACTTCCAGGGCTTTATGATCCCCAACAGAAATGTGAATAGAGATTGGCCCATAGGCAACAGTCCCGTTTTAAAGTATGCCATCCTGTTGCCCCCAAGAGCCTGCTTTAACTTGTCATATCATGTGTTCTGCTTAGTATGGAAGATGCATTTACTGTGCCCATAGGTGGCTGGGCAAATGCCCAATTGCTCCCTGAAGCAGCTTCATTATACAACCTCCACAGCTGCCCCCCAGCCTTCCCTCCTCTCACACCAAAACACCCAGACCCAGAGAGTAGCACACGCTCCCAGACACCTAGCACTCAGCCCAAAACCTAGCACTCAGATATGACAACACAGCCACATGTAAAGATAAGTAAGCATACTCTGACACCATGAATGATACACAAAGAGCCCCTCTCGAACACATACCACTCAGGTTGTCAGCATCACATGGATCCAGCCACAAGCACCACTAACACCCCCTCCCACAAACATGCCGCTTTTGAACTATCTCTCCTTGGATCCAGTTCAAGGGCATGGAGAAGCAGTGAGAGCCATCAGCTGCCCTTTCCCTCCAATTTCCCAGCACGTCTCTTATCACCATCTCACACTTCACCTCTGGCCCCTCTTCCTTCCTTGTACTCGAAGGATCCCTTTGTGCTGGAAAGCCCCCTGGCTTCTCAGCCTCCCTTTCCACCTTTGGAAAAACACTGACTTTCTGGTCCCCACCTTTTTCCTTTCCCGAGTGTGGGTCCTTACCAGCGGACTCCAATCTCAAAACAGGAAGCCCCTGGGGTCAGTACCCTAAAGTGGTCCTGGGGCTCAGACAGGCGGTAGGCGTGGGGTAAACACTTCCCGAATGCACTGCCCGCCCCACGGCCCTGCCCAGAGCTGATGGCCTTCATTAGTCCCTGGCGCTTATCTTGGAACCACAGCCACTGGCAGAACTACCCCAGCCCATCTCTCTGCCTGCTCTGCACCCAGCAGCGTCATGGGGAACTGTCTTTACCCGGTGAGTGTGGGGCTGACCCCCAGCCCCTCCCTCTCTGCCTCCTACTGCCCCTTCTGTCTGCCCGTTGGGTCTGTAGACCTCGCTCCTCCTCTCCTCTCTTGTCCCTTCCTTCGGTTTCCTTGTCCCCTTCTCCCCGAGTCCAGGGACCCTGTTCTTTGCCTCCTCGCTCATCTCTGTCAGTTTCAGCTGGACCTGCTCCTCTCTCCCAGGCCTGTCCACCCCCTTCCCTTGCCTTCCTATGACTCTCGGCTCCTCCTGAGTTGCTCAGTCTTGTCCTTTCCCACCCTCTCCCCTGCACCCAGCTCTTGCGGCCCCCACTTTCCCGCTGCCCTTCTCTCCCTACCTCCTGCCCTCGGCTTCCAGGATCCCCTTCAGAGGGATAGCTGGATGCTCTGATTGTCCCTTTGGGGATGTCCTCCAGGTGGCTGATGATAACTCCACCAAGCTGGCCCTCGAAGAGGCATTTTGGAGTGGATTTCAGGAGACCGACTATCCAGACTATAATGAGGCCGACATGGAAGCAGCTGCGCCCTGCCACTCCTGCCCACTGCTCGACTACTCCTCACTGCCCTTCTTCATCCTTGTCAGCGTCCTGGGCATCCTGGCTAGTGGAACTGTCCTCTACGCGCTTCTCAGACCTCTGTTCCGCTGGCAGCTCTACCGGGACAGGTCTACCCTGGTGCAGCTGGCCGTGGGCAGCGCCCTCTTCAGCATTGTGGTGCCCATCCTGGCACGGGGGCTCAGTGGGGCGCCCATCACCTCCCTCTGCCACCTGGCTCACTTGGTCGCCTATGGCTCAGCCTTTGCTCAAGCTCTGCTGATAGGGTACCATGCCTGCCTAGGCCCCCAGCTGGGTGCGGGCCAGGTCCCAGGCCTCAGGCTGGGGATCACCGTGGGACTTTGGGGAGTGGCCACCCTCCTGTCCCTGCCAGTCACGCTGGGCAGTGACACTTCCCAAGGACTCTGCACTGTGACCTTCAGCGGGGAGTGGGAAATGTTGCGATACATACACGCTGCAGCCTGTTTTGCCATCTTTGTCTTGTTGCCCCTGGGTTTGTTGGGAGCCAAGGGGCTGAAGAGGGCGCTGGGCAGGGCGACTTGTTCCTGGGTCGATATCCTGTGGGTCTGGTTCATTTTTTGGTGGCCTCAGGGCATGTCTCTGGGATTGGACTCTCTAGTGAGGTCCAGGGCCATAGTGGTGTCAACATGTCCGGCCCAGCAGGCCTTGGACATGCTGCTGGATGTGGCAGAAGCCCTGGCGATATCGCACTGCGTGGCTACACCCCTGCTCCTCGCCTGGGTCTGCCACCAGGCCACTCACACCTCCCCACCCTCCCTGCCTCTGTCTACAACACAGACTTCTCATCTGGACACCCTTGGAGGCAAATCCTAGCTCTCTGCCCACCTGTCAACCTGAATTAAAGTCTACGCTGTGATTTTTTTTTTTTAATGAAGCTGGTGGTTTCTTATTTTGTCTGGGGACGTAAAGGAGAGGGAGGAGAATGGAGAGAGAGGAGGCATTTCACACCAGACTTTGCTGTCAGCGTCTGCTTCTCTGGCTGGCCTGGGGAGAAAGTGAATGATGTGCAAACATCCTCGGGGCACACAGATGTTCTCTTGAGGTGCGGGGTTACTGCCATCTCAAAGGGCAAGAGCAGGGGGACCAGAATATGAGGAGAGCAGCTAAACCTGAAAAAAAAAAAAAAAAGAGCCAGAAGAGATGGCTTAGCTAGTAAAGAAAGAAGCGATGCTGCTGCAGTGAGAAAAACGGAGACGAGTGAAGATGAATGGAGAGCGTGACTCCTCTCTGCCTGGCCTGTCCAGCATTCCTCTCTGCCTTCCAGATGCCTTCTGTCTTCCTGTTGGCTTTGCTGAGAGATCGGGTTGGGGGGAGGAGTGGAGGAGAGAAGCATCCTGGAGGACCTTACTTAGCTCAGGGAACCTAGCAAGATAATTCTAAAGCCACTTCCCAGGAGTCCTCTCTCTGAGGTTTATTCCTCAGCGTAGTCCTAATCCCCATGTGTGTGCATCTGTCTGTCTAAATCTGTTAGATCCCGTGTCCATGTTAGATGCACGCGTGTAATAACAGATGGGCTTCCCTGGTGTCTCAGACGGTACAGAATCTGCCTGGGTTCGATTCCTGGGTCAAAAAGGCTCCCTGGAGAAGGGAATGGCTACCCACTCCAGTATTCTTGCCTGGAGAATCCCACGGACAGAGGAGCCTAGCAGACCACAGTCTGTGGAATTGCAGAGCGCCGGACACGGCTGAGTCGTCACAGATGCCCGTGTGTATACTTGCCTCTCTCTCAGAGTTTGACTTGCATACTCCTGTGAGAGTGCTCTGCTCCCTCTTTCTCTCGGGTCTCTCCCTCCACCTCATTCTGCTCTCCATCCTTGTTCTCAGGGTATGGAATCAGGACTTGTAACTCGCTCCTAACTCAAATGAGTTTTCTTCACCCTAGTTTCTGGACCTAGCCTTTTCTATGAAGGAAGCATGTAGGGAAATAAAAATCAAGAAGCTGTGAAGTGTAAGATACTTGATGAGGAAAGGCCTGATCTGGCTGGGCCATCTGCTTGGAATTCCCCAAATTTCCCTTCTAACACCTTTTAGCTTTCAAAATAAGCCATTTCCCCCACACAAACATATCCTTCTGCTTTCCCCACCGTACTTCTTTGCCCTGGGAACCTCTTCCCCAAATATCCTCCTTGATTGGCTGCTTCATCATGATCCTGGAGACTTTTTCTCAGTCAAGTTTAGGTGATGATAGGAAGGACCATGAATAAGCCCCATTTCATAAACGGGACAGCCTCTTCTTTATAATTGTATTTATTTATTTCTTCTTGGCTGGGCTAGGTCTTGGTCGCTGCTTGGGCTTTTCTCTATTTGCAGTGAGTGGGGGCTACTCTCTAGTTGCAGTGCGCAGGTTTCCTATTGAGGCGGCTTCTCTTGTGGAGCACAGGCTCTAGGGTGCTTGGGGTTCAGTAGTTGCAGTTTCCAGGCCCCAGAGCACAGACTAAATAGTTTTGGCACAACTATTGGCTTAGTTGGTCCACAGAATGTGGGATCTTCCCGGACCAGGAATCGAACCCCTTTCTCCTGCATTGGCAGGCAGATTCTTTACCACTGAGCCACCAGGGAAGCCCAGGGGAAACCAATTCTAATGGCATCAACAAATTCACCCTGTACCCGAGATGCCACACAAAGACGTGTCTCTCCCTCCAGCCCAGTTAAACGCTGGGGAGACTTGAGGAGGTGCCTTAAATCTATCCAAATCCAGAGATGTTGTTGTATTAGTCGCTCAGTCATGTCCAACTCTTTGAGATCCCATGGACTGTAGTCCGCCAGGCTCCTCTGTCCATGGAATTCTCCAGGCAAGAATACTAGAGTGGGTTGCCATTCCCTTCTCCAGGGCGTCTTCCCAACCCAGGGATCGAACCCAGGTCTCTTGCATTACAGGCAGATTCTTTACCTTCTGAGCCACCAGGGAAGCCCTGAATCTAGGTTTGGCCTGTCATTTTTCAAAGATGTGCTACATGTGGTTTCTCCCCCAAATCATTTCTGCTTGACTCTTTGGACCTTGGAGATAAGTAGGAGAATTCAGGAGAGGGGCAGAGATGAGTTACAGCATCCTTGGCAGGCGACTTGAAAGGCAGGAGGAATTTTCCTGGGTGGGTGCAGTGACAAATCCTCTCAACCCCCCCACCTCCTGTCTCTTAGCAACCTCCAGATTAGCTGCTGATTGGTGCATCCTAAATTGAAAGGCGGGATTTAGGGACCAATTGAGACGCGGGAGACATACTGAAACAGAAAGAAAGGCAGAGAAAATAGAGAAAAGAGAGATAAATTACCAACCTAAATTATGCTAAGATCTCCAGTCATAGTTTATGAATGTATCCCAGTGTTTTCTTTGTTGTAATTCCCTTCCCAGCCTATTCTCATAAATTGCATCCTCCAGCATCTGACCAGTCTCTCAATCCTTCAGGTACTGGCCAACTCCCTTATAAGCTACTGGATTTGGACGCTGACCTAGTTAAGGGGGAGGAGAGGACATTTTCAGCTTGCCAAATTTTCCAGTGTCAACCTGATGCAAAGGAGGCTTAATTTAAGACCACTGGGGTTGTCTTATCTACCCACCCCCTCAGCCATGCCTCTAGATAGAAATCCCTCCTTGCTCAGCCTGGGTAGAGAGACCCTCAGATACTCTGCCTCTCTTACATCTCTCACAAAGGAAAGTCCAAGGCAGAAGCCTGGGGCTGATAAGAGGTAAGGATTGGTTGGAGATGTGTCCCCACAACTTTCTCCTTCCCGTTCCGTCCCCTCTACTTCGCCCCAGTTCCCCTGGGTGCTGGCCTTTCCCTGTGTTATCTCCATTGCATTCGGGTAGCTCTTCTGTAAGTCTAACCCTGGCCTTAATCATTTCTATAAGGCTTTCCTGGGGGCCCTGCTATCCCAGTCCATTTAACCCACTGCATACCACCAGCCACCTCCAAACTGCTCTGACTCAGGCATCTTTTCTTCAACCCTTCAGGAATACATATCCTATTTCCTTTGAACCCATAAGAATTTAATCTCAGGGATGGCAGGGACTTTAGCTCTGTATGAATTATTGGGCCTCTGGCTAAAGAAAAAAATCCTCTCAGAAAGACGACAGCCAGAAAGCAAGCTCTTGGGAACACACACATACCCTAGGGAGGGTTGCTCTGCATTGCTTCTTTATGGAGAGAGACTTATTTCTTAAGGGAAGATGGAAGATCGCATTGATGCCCATAGTTCATTGATTTCAAACTGGAGCCCCTCTCAGAGGATTTCAGAAGCAAATACCTGGTCCTTACATCCTATTTCCCTGAAACCATAGCCCCATCATTACCTTCCTCAAGAAAGAGTCCTCAGAAGAATTCTGATTGTAAACTTCACTGGGATTTCAAACCCAATTCATTTCCAGCTCTAATTGTCAGGGATTTGCATGAAAACCATCGTATGCTACCTAATTATTCTGACAACAGCAGCCCGCCGTCTGGGCACAAGGAGAATCGCAGTTTTAATTAACAAGAATGCACCTTGCAGACGAATGTGACTGTCTAGGTTAATTAACAAGTCCGAGTCCTTCCAAATCATCTCTGCACGTCTTCTAGGTGATTGGGGCAGGAGGAACTTGGGGCACTCACGGGGTGGCAGGGGGAGGTTAGAAATCCATTCGGCCAAAATGCGTGTCAGCTTTCATCCTCCGTACAGCAGCTATTTGGTGAAGGGAAGAGGGAATCACCAGGGGAAAGAGGCTCTTGAAAAAATTGATTTAGGGAAATTTGAGGCATAGTTCTAGGGTGGTTTTAGGCATTTTTATGTCATCCTTAGACTTTTAGAAACCTTGTAGACACAGTTATGGAAATGAGAGGAAGAAGTCCTGGTAATTCTCAAATATCTCTGATTCATTGTCCAGTTGTTTGCAAACTTGTCTTCCAGGAGATCTCCAGCATGCCCCAATCTGCCATTTCTTCCCACATTTGGAGGTATGTTCCTACCCCATTTGGAAGTGTTAGTCAGTTGTGTCCGACTCTTTGCGATCCCATGGACTATAGTTCACTAGGCTCCGATGTCCATAGGATTCTCCAGGCAAGAATGGGGAACACATGTAAATCCATGGCTGATTCATGTCAATGTATGGCAAAAACCATGGGATTCTCCAGGCAAGAATGGGGAACACATGCTGATTCATGTCAATGTATGGCAAAAACCACTACAATATTGTAAAGTAATTAGCCACCAACTAATACAAATAAATGAAAAAAAAAAAGAATACTGGAGTGGGTTACTATGCCCTCTTCCAGAGGATCTTCCTGACCCAGGGATCAAAGTTGCTTATTCCCTAAGATTTCACAGATAATGTCCCAAATTTCACCCTTGCCCTCTTCAAGGGTTATTGTTTGTATTTTTTTCCCCGAGTAGTTCTCTGCCTCCTAGAAGAATATACTGCATGTGAGTCCAGACTGTATGTGTTTGAAGGGCTTGGACTTTTCCCCTCTATGTTATGCATTATTAATGTATGGGGGAGGGGCCTTGCAGATGTCTTGGAAAATATGATGAAAATTGTGAAATCTCTGTCAAGGAAAATAGAATATTCCACCCCAAATTTGGTGTTTAGTTCTCCCCCGCTGTCCTCAGAGCTAAACTCACATGCCTTCCCTGTACCTACAGGGACTCCATCAGCTCCTCCACGCTCGCTGAGCTGGAGGCCCATGGCCCATGGCCTGTCTGTTCTCTGAACGGGCAAGTCCCATTTCCACTAAGTGTCTTCCCACTTGACATCTCTTATGCCTATGACTCTCTTTCCTGTGCTCTTTCTGTGACTGGGACTTTCTCATCCTTGAGATCTCGATGCAAATCTCACCTCCTAA